GGTCTTGCAAGGGTGATACGCAGGCCAACGCTCTCTTCTTCAGTAGTGGGAGAGAGGCACTGAAGGGAAGACCATCCCAGGGCCAGATCAGAGGCGTCTTATCGATTTTAAGTGGCTGAGCGGACATTTCCCAGACCCAGGGCCTGGACGCTGGTGGGAGCTGGGTGCTGGGGCCCTGCTCTGGGCCCCCGGAGCCCACCTCCTCCGTCCCCCGCAGGAAGCCCCCGCCCGTCTGCAGGGACGTGCAGATCCTGTCTCTTCCTCCCCTTGGAGCCCACAGGATATTTTCCTTGGCCGGCTGCCCGAGCCTAGGACACCCTGCAGAGGCCCCCCAGGGCAACCATCCCTCCTGCCAGGACCCCCACCCACCCCGCCACTGGGGCTCCCCCATCCTCGGGCCCCAACGGCCGGGACCACCCGGCGCTGAGCCCACACCCCACCCACTACAGCAACCCAGTCCCTTCCCCTGATGGCACCCCAGGCCCCTCTCGCCCCTGCGGAGCTGGCTCATCAGCCACCGCGGCCCTGCGGGGGGGGGCCGGTCCCGCAGGCTGGCTGACTTCTCCTCCCAGGTCACCTGCGTGACCCCCAGCTTGGCTCACAGCCACTACGGTCATCCATCACGGTTTCCTCCCTCCTGGACACTCGGGCGTTCACTATCTATGGATACATTTATTAAAATGAAACCCAACTTGTTTTTCCAGAAAACGCTCTACTCGATCATGAGTTTTATTAAAAAAACATTTACTTGTTTTGTTATTAAAGATTTTGCTCCTCTACTCAGCAGTGTTAACTTGGTCAGGCTTTAGCACTGGGATTCTCTTAGCTTTGAAGAAAGAATGAAAAGATCTTCATCCTTTTTTAAAATTTTTTTTTTTTGCTCTAGGACCATCTCTATTGTGGGCCTGCCCTCTTCCATCAAAGGGTCAAATGTGCTGCACCCCAAGGCAGGGAAGGGAGCTGGGCCACTTCCCAGTCTTCTCCCAGCGCCATTCCTGCTAGCAACATTGAGCAATTGTGATCATTACTATTTTCCTAGAAAAATCTCTTTCATAGAAGCTTCTAGGTTTGTAGTCTCAACATTGTCATCCTATTTTTTTTTTTTTTTAATGATTCTTGGAATAGCATCCGTCTCTGAGGTTACATGGCCCTGGCTGTCCCGCTTGTGTTTCTGCAGTGTCGGGACACCCAGCGCCCCCTGCCCGGCTGAATGGGAGGTGGACAGACAGGAGACCCACGCAGCATGGAAGGGAGAGGTGGGACTGAGCCAGGAGGACCTTCGGGGGTGCCCAGGGGCTGGGCGAGGCAGCTGGGTGGGTGGTGGCAAGGACCTGGCGGAGAGACCCAGGAAGGGTGTGGAAAGGAGACCCCACCCCGAGGCCATCTGCCAGGCCAGCAAGGATAAGGGACTTGACTGAGTCTCTGCCTCTGAGGGGGACTCTGGCCGACCCCCCTCAGGTGGACACTTCACCTTCAAAATCCCTCGTGGGTGGTTTTAGTGACCTGAGTGGACATGCTTGTGACTTGAGGCCTGGGACCAGAGGAAAGGCAGGTTCCCCTGGTCATGAGTGGGACCCAGGTCAGAGGCACACCCGGAGCCAATAAACCTGATGTGCCAACGTTTAAAAGCTTCCAAAATGTGAGTCACCCAGTCATGCCTGACCCCATGAACTGTAGCCCACCAGGCTCCTCTGTCCATGGGATTCTCCAGGCCAGAATACTGGAGTGGGCAGCCATGCCCTTCCCCAGGGGATTGTCGCCACCCACGGATCGAACCGGGGTCTCTGGCACTGCAGGCAGATTCTTTACCATCTGGGCCAGCAGGGAAACCCCCAAGTGTCCTTCAGATCTGTTCTGCTCCCTCACCCAGGCAACCCTCCTTTCCCTAAGTCCTGGAAGGCCTGGGGTCAACATGGAATTTTCAGACCCTCTGGAGTTCTCCGCTGGAATGCAGCAGCTGGGGAGAGCTGGCCCTCAGTCCTGTTTCGAGGGGACTTGAGCATTCCCATGTGGAACCCCTCACTCCTCACACCCCAGCTCCATCCACACTGCCCACAAACAGCTAGCCATCAGACCTAGGGAAGAGGCCACCAAGGGCCTTGGAGGTGGGACCGGGGAGGAAATTCCTGGGCTCCAGGCCCCATAGGGTGGGCTGGAAGGCCTGTGGCCTCCTCCGCCGCATGGGAAGGGCTGGATGGGGCCTGAGCAGGGCCCTCCAAAGACCGACTCCTCTTGTCCAGGTCAGAGACCACCAGTGGGGAGGGACGTGTGTAGTCCGGCGCACAATAAACTGGAGAAACACATGAGGTAGCCCTTGGTTTTTGTTTATTTTTTCAATAAACAAAACTTTTTTTTTTGCATGTCTGGCTGCAGAGACGGGAAAGCTAAAAAGAGCTCATCATTGACATGTTTGAAATTTTTCAGTTACAAGATCATCACGCCTGCTCCTCCCCCAGGTTGGGGACCATATACTAGGGGCCATGTCTCTGATGGCTGTCTTTGAGCTTCCCCGGGATTGGCGTAAACTACACACTACTCCAAACGCACACGAAGTGCGGATGGGCAGTCAAGGATCCCAACACTCTCAGCAGAATCTGGTTACCCCATAGCAGATGGAATGGACCATTTCTGCATGACGTGAAGACCGTGGCGAGGTTGCTGACTTGGTTCTGATCTCGCGGGATGTGTGTGAGAGGCAGTGTGGAATTTGGGTGGGGCGGCCTCATGGAGTGCTGGTAAGAGGATCTGTCACGTGGGCAAGTGAGATGGTCAGACTGTGAGGGAGGCGTCTCCCCTCCCACGTCGCTTTACCTGCACTGCACTAGGCTCCCTGGGGACTCCTGATGTCCATGCCCCTCCCAGAGTGCCCCTCATCCTGCGTCCTCAGCTTCCCGCACACCGCCTTGCACTCAGCAGGTGCTTGGAAATGCTTCCTGATTGAATGGATGGCAGATGGAGGATGGATGGGTGAGGAACTGGTCAAGGATAGGCATTGGGTGGGGTCGGGGGGCGTCTTTTCCTTGTCATCAGGGGACACGGTCGTTCTCTACAACACGGAGGTCGAAAGCGTGGAGTAGAGAAATTTGATTGCTGCGTCCAATCTTAGAATTTGGCGTTGGGGGAAACTGAGGATCAGAACCGTCAGCTGACTCGATCAGGGGTCTCACGTTGAGAGAGAGGCTGGGCGGGGGTGCCAGACCCCCACCCAACCGAGCCAACAGTTCTTTTTTTTTGTCTTTTTTAAAATTTTTATCTCTTAAAACGAACTCAAAACGAGATGAGATGGTGACTCCAATGACTTGGAGGGGGGGTAGGTAGAGAGAGCTGGGGTGAGGGCTGTTAGAGACTGGGGGTAAGGGCCAGGGAGGGGAGGGGGGGCAGTAACCAGAGCTGGGGGTGCGGGAGGACTTGGCAGCGGGGACAAGGGTGCGAGGGGGACAGGGCTTGGGGTGAGGGTGGGAGGTGGTCGCGGGGCAGGACGTCGGGACTGTAGGGCGTGGGTGAGGGTGAACAGTGGAGCTTGGGCTGGGGATGACAAAGTCTGGAGTGACGGGGACAATGTCTTAGGTGAGACTTGGGGAGCTTGGGGGAGATGAGGGTCGGGCTGTGAAACACGATGACGAGGGCCTGGGGGCGGTAAACCGGTGGCTGACAGTGATGAACTTGGCAGTCATGTGATGGTTGGTGACCCATGTGGATGCATGTGAGTGACCGAATGACAGAGACGACGTAGGTGATGGTGGCTTAGCAAGGTAAGCAAGGCAGGTCATACTCAATAAGCTAAGAATATACATTCCTATCTTAATAATTCAAGAAGCAAAATATTCCTAACTGGTACCCAAGGGCTGTTTAGCTGCCCGACTCTGAGAGCTGGAAAGCTAAACAGAACTCTGGCCCATCTATTTTTACACAAAAGATAGATGCTCTTTTTTCTACAAAAAAAAAAAGGCAAAGTTTATCATTCAGAAGCTGGCTAGGTCTTTGGGGATCTGAGGGTAGTTAACTCAGCAACACAAATGAAATCCACGCTGGGGTCTGGTCTGGTACCTCTACGGCCACAGAACTAGAAAATGCCCCACAAGCGACAATTCCCACCAAACACTGTGAAAAACCTTGGTGAGGCTGTGTTGCTGCTCAGATACACCAGGGGCACTTGCGGTTCAAGATGCACTTAAATTGCCGGGAGAGATCTCTAATCTACAGGGTCGGAGGCAGGTACAGTTGTTGGGGCCTTGAGTAGGTGGGTAGGTGGGGGGGGGCTGCCTAAGGGTCAGCCCCAGACTGCACGCTGGGACTCAAAGGGGGCAACCGTTTCCAGGTGGGCAATGGGCCAGGAGGCTCCCCACTTTGAGAAATGCAGTCAAAATTCATTTCAAATACATCAAGTGTACATCCAGGATAGGCCAAAACCTTCGGATCCCAGGATGAGACTGTGTCTTCATCAGATCCTAATTTTTTAGGGTAACGGTTTTGGTTCATCACTCCCTCGTTGCTAATTCTGATTTTGAGGGCAAGAGAGGACCTTGATGGTCACGGTGTTCAAGCCCCCACCTGGAGGTGGGGGGGAGGAGGTGGCCCAGGGTGGGAAAGGGACTCGCCAAGGATCACACAGCGAGTGAGCGGAAGGGCTGGGACGAGGTCCCAGCACCTTCAGCAGCCAACCCGGGGCTGTCTCTCTCTCTCTCTCTCTCTGCCTGACACGCGGCCGCTGCACTCTGCTAAAATCCCAAGGTCTGCGGTGTTGACATGAGTGCGAGTCGGGAGTGGTGCGTGAGAATTAACGAACGAAAGAGATTTTAGCCCTTTTCACAGTGGGTGGTCATGCACAGCACTCGTAACGGTTTCACGAGGACCCCGTGACCGAGACCCCACCCCTGGCTGGAGGGGGGCATCGGCACGGAGCCCTGGCACTGTTGCCATGTTTTTTTTTGGTCTTTTTTGATTTTAGATTGAGAGTTTAGAATAACATACTTATTTGTCTTACTCGTTTAAAGATGAAATTCTCATTATTATTATCGTTATTATTATTATTTTTTTATATCATGCATTAAGAAGAGAGAAAGAGGATTCATCTGGCAATTACGTTGGTCACACGGCAGCGCAAAGGCGGGAGAGGAAAGCATAGCGTTCACCAGATTTGACAGAGAGGGGAGCAAATTCCACCACAAAGATGAGAGCAGACCGCACAGAGAGACGGGGGGCTCTGCGGGGACCCCGGGAAGGGGGGGCGGCGGGGATGCTGCTCAGATCTCCTCCTCGCCCGCCTCCTTGGTGAAGGTGGTCATGTCGATCTTCTCCGGGAAGACGATGTTGACGGCCAGCTCCTCCCCGCTGTTGCAGTGCAATAGCAGGTTCTTCTTCTTGCGCAGCATGTGGTTGTAGCGCAGGGTGGACACCCAGGCCTCGCACTTGTTGAGGAAGACGATGCCCAAGGTGCCCAGGATCACCAGGCTGGTGAGCACGCCCAGGATGGTGAAGCAGATGGCCTGTCCCTCGGAGAGGAGCGGAGTGCTCTTGTTGAGCTCCTTCATGGACACTTTCAGGACGCGGTGCTCGGGCTGCTGCACCGGCAGCTCGTGCACCCCGGGGGTCAGGCGGTAGGTCAGCCCGTAACCGCTGGGCAGACGGGTGACCTGCGGGGGGCCCGCCGCGCGCTTCCGGCCACACCGGGGGCCGGCGAACGCGGGCGTGCAGAGACACTCGAACCTCACCTGTGAGTGCTGCAGGCAGGTGCCGCCGTTGAGGCACGGCTCGCTGGTGCAGGTGTTGACCGGGCGGCTGCAGGTCTTGTCCATGAAGCCGGCGGGGCAGCGGCAGCGGAAGTCGCCCCCGATGTCAGTGCAGATGCCCTGGTTCTCGCACGGGTTGGGGCTGCAGCTGTTGGTCATGACCTCGCAGAAGTTGCCCGAGAAGCCCGGGGGGCACAGGCAGGCGGCGTGGGGGGCCTGGCCCTCATCGTCCACGCAGCTGCCTCCGTGCTGGCAGGGCGAGCTGGAGGACAACAGGGCAGGGTGAAGGGCCCTCGGGCGCCGGGCTGGGACAGCGAGGCCGTGGTGGGGGTGCCCTGCTCCCCCCTCGCGCCACACCGCAAACCTCCTGGGACCCAGCCAAAGGGCAGGTACCCAGAACGCTCGAGGTGAGGGAGTGCCAGCCAGGGAGGCCCCAGGGTGGGGAGGGGGGTGGGTGCGGGGCCCCGTGAGCCCCTGCCTGCGCGGGGCTCCCGGACCGCCCGAGATGGGGTGGGCACCTCACCCCCATCACGCTGCCAGCTTGGAACATGCCTGACCTCCCGTGCCAGGATGCCCATCTCCTCTCCCACCTCTCACGTCACCTCTCCGACCGACCAGAGGCCTGACGGTTAAGTCACTGGACAGGTGGGGAAACTGAGGCTGAGAGAGGCAAAGTTAGTGGTACCCCACGACTGCGGCCAGCCCTCCCCTTAGCTCCGCCCCCAGTCCACAGAGGCGGGGCCAAGCAGGGCATCCCTCCGTCTCTCCCACCACCGCCACCGCCGCCCCCAGCCCCTTATTATTAATTTTATCTTCCTCGGAGTGAGCCTGCGGGCTATTGTACAGCAAACCCTTGGGGACTCTCAGAGTGAAAGAAAGCCGCGTGCTCTGTCTGCGAGGCAGGAGCAGCGTCTGGGCCCGGCTGGTTAATAGTGGCCCATTCACCCCAGTGCAGCTTGCAGACCAAAGCTGTTTGCTCAAAGCAGAGCGCACGGAGCATTTAATGTAAGTGCTTTTAAACGAGCAGACCCTTTGTCATTTGATAAATGCCGAAACTCCAGGGAAGAAAGGGGCTCAGAGCACAAGGAATCAGCATTGCTGCTGCAAGGGTGAGGGTGAGGGGAGCTGGGGCTCTGGAGGAATTTCAAGGACCCCAGGCTCTATTTTGACAGACGGGTTCAAGTCTGTTAGGGAGGAAAGCAAAATATTTTAAAGGTCTTGCTCCATATTTCCCCTTCCTGCCAGGAAGCAGAAATGGAGCTCGGTGGTCACCCCTGTCCTCCGACTTCACCCTGAACTCTGATCTTATTTTCCTTAATTATTTATTTTTTAATCGAAGGATCATCACTTTATAGGATTTTGCTGTTTCCTGCCACACATCAACACGAATCAGCCCTAGAACGCCGATTTTTAGGATGCTGCAAGAAGGCTGCTTCCTGGCCCGTGTGGCTCTGGCGGCTCTCTGCCCCGTCCCTGGAAGGCACTTAAGCTTCGGCTTCCTCACGAGACAGGGGCGCCCCCCGACCCGCAGCCACTGGCCCAGGGCTGGAGACAGCCCTGATTTCTCACCTGACCTCCCTGGCCTCCGTTTAAACCCCCTCCTCCTCGGAGGGTGAGGAGGGCAGTGGGGGCCAGAAATGGCTGAGCTGCTGGGAAGTCTGCTCAGGGGGGCACCAGAGAGGCCAAGGACCGGTCCATCTGCCGGGCCCACTGCCCACTGCCCACAGCCCCGGAGGCCCCTCTCCACGACGGTAGCTGGGGGCTGGACCCCCCCTCCCTCCCCCTATCCCGCCTGCCCCATGCTGGCCACAGCCCCCTCTCCCCACCTCCTAAGACGTACGTCCTAGAAGACCCCAATGCAGAGCCTGCCGCCCACCACCCACCCCCCCACCAAAGCCACCCCTAAGGTCCAGAGACCAGGTTTCACCAACAGCCTCGGGCACTGCCGAACTCTGATCTCTTGTTACGTCGCCTTTAGAAAATTATGCCGCTGGGGCTCGGGTTCACAGTCCCCAATCTACTGTCATTCACACACGTCAGGACTTGGGGACGTCAGGGGAATAAGAAATCACCTTCAGGATTGTTTGGGAAAAAATGACAGAAATGACAGACTCCGCCAGAAAGGCCCCATTGAGGGGCAGCCCCCCTGCAGGGTGCAGAAGGAGCACTTCCTTGGTCTTTTGTCCGCCAACAGGTCCGACTGGGTTAGGCTGAAAGGGTCTTTAGGGGGTGTGAAAGGGGATTCTAAAGCCGCGTTTTATCAGATCCGCAGGGAGAGAATGCTCACCCATTCACCACGCAGGGCCCATCCACTTTCTGACAATCCTTTCCCGAGAAGCCGGGGGCGCAGGAGCATTCGTACTGGCCGTCTTCGAGGTTCAGACAGGTGCCGTTGTTGGCGCAGGGGGTCGAGGTGCAAGCCCGGATGTCTTGGAAGGCAGAGAAAATCAGGGAGATGAGATGAGGTTGGTGACGCAGAGGCTAGAAGGAGAGCATCGTGGGTCAGGGCAGGGAGAGACAGACACCCCTCCCTCTGGCCAAGGCGGGGTGAGCTGCCCAGATTCCCTGCCTGTGGTCACTGTCCAAGGTCACCCAGTGGGGTCCTCAGCAAGGGAGTGCTGCGAGTCCCCCAGAACCCTGACCTAAGTAAACAGCTCTGGGAGCCGAGGACAGAAAGTCACAGCCGCTCACCAAGATGTCACCCAGGCCCGCTGTCCCTTTTTCCGGCACCAGGTCACCTGTCGGGTTCCGCAACACTGACCTTCACTGCGGACCCCTCCCCTCCCCCTAAAGCTCCAGACCAGTTTCTAGTGTCTGAGGAGGTCCCTGCCGCTCGTAGGTGGAGGAGGGGGTGAGCACAGCCCAACTGTTAGAGACATCACCTGCCCCTGTATACTTTTCCATCAAAGGGGAGCGGGGAGGTGGGGGAGGAAATGAGATGTAAAGCCCCCTGTCGGGAATCAAGAAACCTGATTTAGCCCCAGCGCTGCCTCCTCCGTCTCCCGGTGGTCTGTCTGCTCTCAGGTTCTGAACTAAGAGGGTCCATGATAAAAAGGTTGCATCTTTTGAAGGCGGTGAAATGAGAGCTATTGAGTTCTCAGCTGTCAGCACGGGTTTCCATGAACACTGGTATATTTCCACCGCCTTTTTACACCTCCCATCACGCACACTTCATTATTCGGGGCTCAGCAAGGCAGGGACAGGCTGAACAAAGGGGGGACCTGGGGTGGGGGCTCTCTGCCAGGAGAGAGACCCTTTCTGCACCCACCTTCAGCCAGCTGCTCCTCTCCCCCGCCACCCCACCACCCCGGACTCTATGCCTCACTTTCCCTGCTTAGAAAAGAAGGGCTTCTCCCCAGCCCATGTCTGAGAGCCCCTTTCTGCTTGGCTTTTTCCACCATCCGAGCTGCCGCCCGGGCCAAAGAGAGCCAGGGCCAGCCAGAGACGAGGCAGCGATTGAGGGGCAGCTCTAGGTGGGGGTCCCTGGGGGCTGCAGTCACGCACGTGCAGATGGACTCCCTCATTTCAAGAGCCCTGCACCCTCTCGGGGAGAGGGGATGGCCATCCGTCGGTAAGGAAAAGCCCCGTACGCCAAGGCGAGGGCCTGTGCAGAGCTCACGTGAGGAGTCTGGCTGGTGCAAGGGGAACATAGAGGATTTATCATTACGGAAGGCCCTGGGCGTGAGCCTCAGGCTCCCCTGTCACTGGGAACCTTCCGTGTAAGCGCAAGAGCCAGCGACCACCCGCTCCCCTCCTACAGTGTCAAGCCTCGTGAGCCTAGCCGAGGATCAGCTCGGCTTCTCCCCCTCCCTCCAGGACCTCCGACCCCAAAGTCGGATGGATTAAGCTGCCACAAGGGGAGAGTGGCCAGGGGTCTCTGCCTGCTGGGGCAGCAGCTGTGGTGGTGACAGCCTCAAAGACGGGTGAAGAGGGAGAAGGCCAAGAACTACCCGGAGGGCAGCCTCCTCTGGACCCAGCCGCCCCAGGCTTTTGTCGACGCAGTGGGGAGGGACCTTTTGTCTGGAAAACTCCACGGTGGGGTCCCGGGCTTAGATATCACAAAGAGTGGGGCTCCGGGCTAAAAAGCCCTGATCCCCAATGGTGGCTTTTCTTGGGACCCCCTTGGGTCCCCCAAACAGCTCAGAGGTTCTTCCAGGGAGCCGAGCCCTGCTGGCCAGAGCCTGAGTCAGCTGTAGGGAAAAACCTGCTCCGTGCGGGGGTGGGGGAGGGCACTTTAAAGACCCACACGCTGGGGGATTTTGAAAGCCCACTGCCGAGCTTCGCTGGGCGGTAACACTACAGTTCTTGGGTTTTTCTCCAGGGAAAGCGTTAGCCCCCTGGATGAGAATGAACCCATTTTGGAGGCGGAGGGTGAGGTTTGGTAGCCAGCCGGCTGTTCTCCCGACTTCCTAAGTGTCCTGAGCAGGACCCCGTTGCTTCCCCAAGCCTCAGTTTCCCTCTAGGTACCAGGCGTCTTTGTGGACGCTAGCAAGGGGACTGAGGGACAGGGGCCCTACGGCAGCTGCCTACACCGGCAGGGGAGTTTTCTCAAGGACCCTGGTTTGCCTGGGCATCAGGGCAGGTTTTGCCAAACGAGAATGGGCTCGGGTGAACATTCTGCAGCGTGAAAATGCAGTGACAGCCAACTGTCCACTGCTCAGGGTAATGGAGGGCAAAGATTGCATAAATTAATGAAATCAACAGATAACACCAATCTGCACTTGAGCTACTTCTCAGCCTTTCCCGGCCGTCCATCCCCCGGCCCTCACACCTGACCTCGTCCAGCACAGCCCCCAGCCCTGTGCCGGTACCCGCTGGTCCCGCACTCAGCACCCAGCATCCCCCCGCGTTTGTTTGCTTCTGTGTCACAGCATCCTCAGTAGCCTCGCCTGTGAATTTCTTGGAGTCTTGGCTCTTCGACCCTCCCCTCTTTGAGCTTCAGCGCCCCACCCCCCGGGACAGATTTCTGCGGTCCCCACCCTCTCAGCCTTGTGTGGCATGTTCCTTTTGGGACTCTTTATTCAACGGGCAGCCCCCCCACGCCCCCCCACCCCAGTGCTGGGTGCTGGCGGTGCAGCGGGTAGCAGCAGTAAGTGCCCCTTCCCCGTGGGGAAGCCCCCAGCACCAGTGGGAAGCGGATAAACAGATCATTACCATCCAGGCTGGTGGATTTGCTGGGCGAAGGCCACAGGGGGAAGGGAGGCAGCCGCCACCCACCGGGCGGGGAGGAGGTGGCTGGGGGAGGGGGCGGGNACCCCAGTCCTCGTCCCCCCCTCACCCCTCTCCCCCACTGGTTGGTTTTCTGTTTGCTGCAGTCCAGAGGCCCCCTGCTTTTTCTGCCTGCGTCACAGCTCCCCAGAATTCTGCCCTGCCCCCCCCAACCTGTCCCCGCCACGAGCTGTCTCTGGGGAGCCCCTCCATTACCTGCACACACTGTCATCATCGCAGAATCCATTTTCGGGGTGGCAGGCCGGGAAGCATTCAGCTCCTGGGGCACAAGAAAGGTTACGCCATTCTCAGCACGAGGCCCGACAGGCCGGGGAGGCGGCCTCCGCCCTGCGGGGGCTCTACCCGCCTGGCCCACAGTCAGGCACGCCATCGAGAGCCACCCGGGGGAAAGCCCCCGCCTGCTTCTGGGTCTGGGGTCATCACAGCACAGCGCCTAGCTCCCGGGGCCCGGTCAGACACCCAGCGTCCATCGGAGAAATGACAAATGTCAGGCCCTCCAAGGCAGGGGTGGGGAGACAGCGAACCAAAAGAGCTTGACCCCAGGGGACTGGGCCAAACCCTCACTTTTACAAAGTGAGCTAAAGGTGGGGCGGGGGACAGGTTTTTGAGGTATTCAGCTCGGGAAAAGCTCAGACAGGTCCACCTGGAAGGCTCACAGGTAAAGCGTCTGAGTTTTTCAAAGGTTAATCCCAGCGAAGTCAGGCACCCAGGTCAAACTCCCCACCCCAGGTGCTTGGTACTAAAGAGACCAACAAGGGTTTTGCGGACAAGACTGCAACTCTGACACCCTTTAGAGATTCCAACACTTTAATAGGCACCTACTGTGTGCGTTTACTTTAACTCTCAGCAGCTTTTCAGACAGCACCCCCCATAACCACTGGCGCAGTGGGGGGGGCCCTGCGCGAAGGGGGCATGCTGCGTCACGGACAGATGGCCGCCGCAGACAGGAGTGTCGCAGCCCCTCACCTAGACCAGCGGCACGCGGGAGGGGCCCAGCCTGTGCTCCTGGCTGGGACTCTGGGGCGACGACGGCAGTCACCCTCTACAGCCCCCACAGGCCTGCTCCCGAGCGCACACGCAGAGACCCCCCCAAAGTTGCACCCCAGAGCGTGTTCACAGAGGGCTCCCCAGCATCACCTCGTTTCTCCATACCTCCACTCTGCGCACCGGCCCCCTGCGAGCGCCACTTCTGCAGGGCGGGAAGGGGCCGGGGGTCCCACACCCCTCCCGCTCCCCGCACCCCCCTCCCCCCCCCAGGGACCCCAGGGCAGGGTTTGGCATGCGAGGATGACAGGCGGGGCGAGGCGCAGGGCTTAGGGTTAGGCGGGACGGGCGGGAGTCGGGGCGCACGGGACGGGGTGCGCGGGGCACCGGGCGGCCGGGGTGGGGGGCGTCGCAGGCTTCCCCAGAGGGGGCGCGAGCCGGGCCGCCGGGGGGCTCACCATGGGCACTGCGGCCGAAAGCCAGCAGGAGCAAGAGGACGGGCAGGAGGGCTGCGGTCGCGGTCATCGCGGGGCGGCCGGGGTCGCGGTCCCGGGAGTGGCGCGGGCGCGGGACCTGCTCCGGGCGCCGCACTGGGCTTCTGGTTGCGGACGCGAAAGGGGGCGCGGGCGCGCGGCGAGGGGAAAGCCAGGGCTGCACCGGGCTGACCCGGTGACCCCCGCCCCTCGCGGGGCCGCCCCCCACCACTGCGGTGTCCCGGAAAGCCGCTCGCACACGCGGGCCACTCTTGGCTAGACGGGCACAGGTACCCCGCGCGCGTTGGGCACACGTTCCCCCCATAGGACGGCACACGGGCGCGCACACACGGGCCCGCTTAGGACAAGTCTTGGGAGCCGAACCTGGGCTGGGCCGCAGACCCCAGGAAGACGCGAAGACGCGCTCGGAATACAGAAGCACGCACAGAATACCAGAGCACTGATCGCCAAGGTCCCTAGCACGCATGGCGTGGCTCACGCACCCAGAAACACACAAACGCACACTCTGGAGACGGGGGAACGCACGCTACCGCACACGCAGCGGGAAGAACACTTAGGAGAAGCCTTGGGGCGCCCACACTCCTAGCCATAAACACGCGGGGGGAAATGCAGGCACCCTTGTGGGAGCACACTCGTGTGTGGGGACACACTCGGCGACACACACACACTGCAACACACGCACACGTCATAGAAATGGCTGGGAGGGCCGCATGCTTGCTCGTCATAGGCACGCAGACAGGCAGAGGACGCGTCGTTATGAAACCCTGTGTGTCCTCAACATGTGCCAGGCCGTCTGCCCAGAGGCACATGTGCAGCCTCGTGCACACCTGGACACGCGAATACCCTGGTGAACACAGACACCTGAGCACATACACTCACACACACGCCGCCGGCCGCAGTCCCGCCAGAAGGCTCTCGCACGTCTGATGTTCACACACACGCACACATACCCTCCCTGTCCCGGAAACTCACAGATATCAGGCTCTTGGTTACACTCTTATCAAAACACGCATACTGGCAGCCAGCACAAGCACGCACGCACACACAGGCCCCATCACATCCATCTTTGCCCACCGTGACATATGTGGGCAAGCTCACACGTGTGCTCACGCTGACACGCACACACACACCTGGCACTCGCAGGTGTTCCAGATCCGCCGGAGGCCTCCAGCTGGGGGTCACACGGAAGTGCAGGTGGGGGGTGGGGACCCTGCCAGAGACCCTGGCTCCAAAGAACTCGTGGTGAGAGTCCCAGCCCCGACATAGAGCCCCGCACTCTGCTGGTCCAACCTCCCTCTAGGCCCGTCCCTATCAGGGAGGTTTAGGGAAGTGGAGAAGGGCAGGCATGGTGGTTGGTCCTCTGTGGAGGAGGAGGAGGTCCTGGGCAGATGGATCTTCAGTGTGGGCTTCCCTTGCATCCCTTAGTTTGCGGACTGATGCCGCGGGCTGGGAGGGGTGCCCACCCATTTCTTGGCCTACTCTCCCCACCACCCCGGAGTGGGGGGTGATCTCTGCCACTCTGAACCTGGCCTTTGGGCCATATCACAGGGCCCTGGCAGGTCTGAGGACAGACTTACTGTCCTTGGGATGGGGGTGGCAAGTCAGGCCAGGGGGAACCCCCGCCGCCCACCCTGCTGGCCCTAAGGCCCTAAGTCTGCGCCTAGAAGCAGGACCTAGTCTGGGTGGCCTCCTGGAGGCTGGAGGGAAACCCCCTCCCCCTTGTGGACAGCCCTCTTCCCCGTCCACCTCTGCTGAAGATCCAGAGTAGGGGGTGCTTGGGGAACGGCTTTGGAGAAAGATCACGCAGTAGTCTGACCAGCTCCCCGCCCCATGGCCCCTGCCTTTCCGTGACCTCATTCTCTCCCACGAACGCTCTTCTCATGTGAAGAAATTGAGTCCAGAGATGGAAGGTCTTTTGCCCGAGGGCCCTGGGCTACAATGGGAGTGACTGGAGGTCCACTGGGGCTCCTCTGACCGCCCCCCCCACTTCCCTCTGAAGACCCTGACCTCAGCCTCCAAAATTATCCCCGGAGGAAGGGAGGGCTGGGTTGCCAGCCAGACCCTAAGGAGGGGCGGGAGACCTCAGGACCCAGCAGCTCCTCCCCACCTCCCCTCCCACCGGGTCACCAGGTGCCTGTGTGGACAGCAGGAAGGGTGGGGGCTGGCAGCCGCGGAGTGTGCCCCCTCTAGACTCCTCCCTTCCCTACCTCGGTCCCCTCCCACCACTGGCCTCCCTGGTCTTGGAAAGGGAGGGAGGCCTTGGGAGGGCAGTATCCCTCAGAGACTTCCTCCAGAGCCCAAATGTCACGCGCTCAGGCCGAAAGGGCACTCCCCTGGCCGGTTGGCACCTGCTCGCTAACCCCAGCTCCATCCCCTGTCTGCTGAGCGCTGGTCACTTCCACTCTGAGCCCAGCTTCCTTGTCTAGAAACAAGGATGGATATACCACACTTGTCCCCCCCAAAGGAACTCGGGTTTTCGTAAGTAGAAACCCACCGTACTCACAAGACCTGGCCCCTTCCTGCCCTTGAAACAGTTGTCACCACCGGGCCTCCACCCCAGGCAGCCAGAGAGAGCTGCTGGCCGGGGATGAGGTGCCCGTCCTGTCGGGCAAGCCAAGCCCTTTACCAGAGCCCTCTCAGAGCCGCTGCTGGGAGGCCGGTGGGGTGTTCCTGCCTGCCCAGATCGATAAGCCTAGAGCTCTCTGTCGCTTTGCTCTAGTCTCAACAAAGGGTTTGTAAATTCAGGAGACCTGAGATTTCTTTTCAACAGGCAGACACTGAGAGAGGGTAGCTGGGGAGCCGTGGGGAGGGGAGGTTGGTGACTGTCACAGGCTTCCAGGCTGCACAGAAAGAACGAAATGCCAATCCAGCCCCTTGGGGAGAAGTCGACACCGCCTGCTGGTTGCAAGCAGACCCTGGGGGCTGGGGGGAGCACAGGGCGGCCCCTCCTCTCTCTGTCCTTCCCTCCGCTCCCCCCACCCCCCTCCAGGAGAGGCCGATGGCCCTGCCCTCGGAGGATGCTCGGCCCCTGCTCAGCACAGCCTGGCAGGTGGTCCACACAGGTAGCAGAGGTCGAGGTCGGACCTGCCCGACCCAGTTGAACTCCCTCCCTCTGCTAAGCCGGGCTGGCTCCGCCTGCTTCTCCGCCCCTCCCCTGCCCCCCAACCCCACAAAGCAGGAGCTAGACAGCAAGTGGTCCCCTGGTTAAGAAAAAACAGAGGCTGGGCTTCAAGTCCTCCGTCTTCCCAGGGCAGCAAGAGAGCTGGTGGTGAGTGAAAGTTTTCTGAGGGAATCAAAGAAATGTGCTCTCCAGCCCTTTCCCCTTCCCCCCTCTCCTCTCCCCCTCGGCACTCTCCAAACACTACGTGGCCGCCGGCCTTCACCAGCCCCCTTTGCCCTTGATTAAAGACAGAATCGCTGATCAGAGAAGCCCAGCAGGGTCCGGCTGGAGGAGCCTGGGAGACCAGCTAACAATCCTGGGTGCCCGCAGCAGGGGCAAGGCAGTCTGGGGGCGGGGCTTCAGCCCCCCCTTGCCATCCAACTCTGCACCTGTACTGGTCCAGCCCTAGGGGAACACTGCAGAGCTGGGTAAACTGAGGCCTGGTGAGGCCTCCCGGGAGCCTTGGTTCCCTCTTGCCCCCACATACTTCATCCTCCGTCCTCCCTCCGGGAGAGGACCCAGCTCCCCTGGCCCTGCCTGAGAGGCAGCTCTTCCCACGGCATGCATGCTGAGTCATTTGGATCATGCCTGATTCTGTGCGACCTCACGGACTGTAGCCTGCCAGTCTCCTCTGTGCATGGGATTCTCCAGGCAAGAATACTAGCGTGGGTTGGCATGCCCTCCTCCAGGGGATCTTCCTGACTCAGGGATCGAACCTGCATCTCTTGCATCTCCTGCACTGGCAGGCGGGTTCTTTACTGCTAGTGCCACTTGGGAAGCCAATGGCACTTCCCATGGCACTGCTCCCGCAACTAGTCAAGCCCAGTGCAGAAAGTTCAGGGCTCCTGGTTAGCGCCCCAAGGCTGAAATATACTAGAGACTGCAAGATAGGGGTCTGCAGCAAACGGGGGCTGCCTTTCTGCCACTCCCTGATGCCCCCACCCCGCCCCGCCCCAGGACTTAGATTCAGGTTTAGCAGAACCTCATCAGGGCCTCCTCATGGCTGGACTGGGTCGAGGTGGCAGGGCCCACTTCACAGATGAGCACGCCGAGGTGTGAAGACGCCATGACAGGCGTGCAGCTAACGAGCAGCAGAGCTGGGATTCACGCCAGAGGATTCGGGAACTCGGAGGTCCCGGCTCTCTGCTCTGCCAGCCACGTGGTGGGAGAGAGCAGGGCCCACAGGAGGAGGAGGACACCCCCAGGACCCCGCCGTCCTCTCCTTGGGTCAGGGGCCTTGAGCGCTTCTTGCAAACGCCGCAGAGCTATGTGGTTGCCGTGATGAGAGTTCTTTTCCAAAGCTCATCTTTGGAGAGAGAAATTGTCTCTTTTTCTGCCAAGGGGAGAGGGCTTGGGGGCGGAGGATGGAGAGAAATGAGAGACACACCCGAGTACATTTCGGATCTGAGAACATGACGGCTTGGTTTCGAGTTCAATCAGAGAGAAGCCTCTTCAATCTGAAGTGGCGTTGTGCTCAGCTGGGTGGGAGAACGTGGCCTGGAGAGGCATGTGCCAGTGCCAGGCCCACTGCGGGGGTCTCGGCGGGGCCGCGGGGGGCTCGAGCGCCCCACACAGCCTCGCGTGTGACATGGGGAAGGAACAGCCTCGGCTCCCCAGCAGGGACGCGGACAAGGCCGCCTTGGTCTGGGTTCGTCTTTAGTGTTGACTTCTGCCCAGTCGCTCCTCTTACTGATTTCTCATCCTCCTCGGATGGTAGGATTCAGAAATAGATTTTTCTTGCTTCCTTTCTCGCCATTGGAATCGACGTGGATGTCAAGTTCACAAGTCTAATTGTCCACGTCATCAATCAAATTATCCTCTTAAAGGGCGCCACTGAGTCATGCTGTGTGCGTGGGGAGCTCTCGGGGGTCTCCAGAAGGGTTAATGACAGCTCCCCGCCCCACCCCCACACCCTATAGGTAAACTCACACCCCCCTCCACCCCGCC